AAAAAAAAAAAAAAAAAAAAAAAAAAAAAAAAAAAAAAAAAAAAAAAAAAAAAAAAAAAAAAACACAAAGAAAGTACCATTACTGAGTGGGAGATCTGGGAGGCGGAATTGAACTGGAGATGAAAAATGGGGACGAGTTCTTCAGATTTCTGTATATATGAACAAACAAATCAGGATTTTTCTCTTTTTTTTTCCAGGATGTACACGGCACGTTATATTATAATTAACCGTGTTGCGCCACGTAGTTTGTATACGTGGCGAACGCTTATTGGATTTTTAAGATGCCACGTTGATTTGTTCTTGTATCCACGTCAAACCGTGGGTAGGTCACCCGCCATTAAAGCCTAAATTAATAATAAAAAATACTGCGTTTTTATTTATATTTAACGTTTGGATATTTAAAAATATAATTTTTTTTAATTAATTAACCTAAGAGATTTTTTTTAGTTCAAGAGAATTTTATTAATTAATTGTAATTTTTTATAAACTATTTTATTTTTATTTAAGCGTTACTATAATAATGATATATTTTTTTATCATTTTTAATTAGGGTTATATGATTAATTTAGCAATATATTTATTTAAATATTACTTACTGATAATAAAATAATAACTTGGATGGTAATTAGTTACTTTCAATAGTAATAGTTTATTCAACTTAAAAATAAAGTGTGGTTTTGTCGTCGACAGCGGATCACGAAATCTTGGCGATCGGTTCGAGTTAGATAACTTTTATATTACCTGTTGCAAGAGTTATTATTTTATTCACTTGATTCCGCTTAAAACCAATTCAAAATTACTTGATAAATTATTCTCCAAAAATCCGTATGACATAATTCTTTCTAAATAAATCGAGAAAATAAAATTAAAAATATATATAAATATATACTCATTGATAAAAACTGCTACCGATTCCAACATTTCTCTCGATATTATGTTAATCTATAAATTTACAACAGTATTATGTTAGTGTAAAAATTAGGCATTGACGATTTTAGAACAAAATTTTAATAATAGTTCCGACCCTAAAGTTTGATAAATTGAATTTTACGAACATGACCAATATGAAATAAGCCTATCTATGCATACATTCCAGGGTTGAAAAAATGGTAGTTTCTCATGGATTCAAATAATTCTAATGAACTTTGAATTCATGAATTGAGTAAACCCAGTACATATATCCAACATGATCCATCGCCACCTGTGTCAAAAGCAAATAAGATACAATATTCAAATCAAATCTAAGTGAAGGAACCCCGAATCACATATGCATATCAAACTTGTGAGTTAGAACGGGGTGGATCCCACGTCAATTGAAGAAGGGAACGATCATTCTTTATAAGGGCGTAGAAACCTCTCTCTAGGAAATGCATATTAAAACTTTCGAGGGAGTCTCGGTCGATACTTTCAAAGCGAAAACAAAAGAAAGAGAGAATCCCTCGATGCCCTCTTTAAGCCTGGAAGAAGTCCGGAAGAGAAAGCACAAAAATGACAATATCGGCTAGCGTGGGTTTGGACTATTACACTCAAGAAAGCCAAAGCCAAAAAGCCAAAAAAAAACCTGATTCTCCTTAGGGCTTCTTCTCTCCTATGTAACGAAATGAAAACGACGCGGTTGAATACATTAAAAGACAGGAACCGAAGTCGAGAGCAAGCAGCGAAAAGGCACTCTAAAGTTGGGAGTAAGATAGCTTGCAGTCAGTGATATAATCTAGATCATAATCAGCTCAACAAAATGATTCCAAAGACAAATAAATAAAGCAATCTGGTGAGAGGTGATAAAGAATTGAGAGAGAACTATGCATGTATTCAGCAGAAGAAAAAGAGAGTTGGAAAGTAATTACTTACGCTTACTCGTACCTCACAAGCTGGCGGCTCTGGAAAACAGCTACGGGAGGGAATATATACAAAGCTTGCAAGAGCTTCCACAAGCGGCTACAGTGACACAAAAGGGTATAAATTAACCTTCTTAAAGATCTTCAAGTTCAAAGGCATAGTAACATCAAAAGGCTATGATTTTCGAGTACGGATCGATCGAACAAATCCTTACAGAGGGAGAAAGAAAGTCAAAATGCTCTAAAGATGTCACCTATTTCTAATCAGCTTCTTCTACAAAGTTTACCATTCACAACGACGAGGAACAAATAATCCATGTTCAAGAAACTTGCATTTCATTAGTTTGCACCGTTTTCCTGACCAGTTTAAGTTCTAGGACATCTTCCGCCACTTCTATTGCTACGGGTTTCACCATATCCTCTTTTCTTGCTTCCCTCGGTTTCTTCTCCGTCTTTCCATCACTAACATCTACGATCTCGGTCGCGGAATTTTGTGGTTTAAAGTTCTCAATCTCTATGATTTCTTCCTTGGGAGTTTCTATGACGTGAAGAAGATCAACTGGAGTGGCTGCAGGATCCAGTTCCCTGCAACCTCTGGGAGCGTTCGGTCCTTCTTGACCAGTAAGCAAATGTGAAGGTACAAGATGAGAAAACCGGAATATCTCATCTTTAGGGATCCTTCTTACTTGGCTTGGGTCCAAATGACGATGAAATACAGCCCTGAAACCAGCCACCTTGACGAGGGGAGTAACAATAACACCTAGTTCTTTGTTATAATCCTCAAGAACTTCTACTATGTCATACTTGTGTATTACCTCATCTGATGTCAGTTCATTCCAATCAGGGGACCAATTCCTGTAAAGAGTCCAAACATCTCCCTTTCTGGGATGTATGCAAATGTCTCCGTATGTGCCTTTTGACCATCTGACCTTGTGTGAAAAAGAATCAAGGGAACTATAAATCTCACGCCTCCCAGTTCTAAAATCCCCACACGTTTTTGGAAACCCGGAGCTTACCCAGCTCAGTGAACCCAAGTCATCACCAATTATTGAGTTTAGCCAACGAATCTTCAATTTAAACGGGTTCAAAGATACTACACTATGAATCCAGGCATAACGTCGAGGCATGCCATCGTCATCGTCATAAGCCGCCCAGACCTGATTATTTCCGAATGAGCTTTCTGTACAATCTCTATCAAAATTATGAAATTCCGGATCAGGGACATTTATTGACAGTGTTTCTGCACCACGGGGACATGAATTGCTAGGAAAATCAATCACTGACTGTGGTTCCTTCTTTGAATTCAGAAGTTCAATGGGCATGTCTTTATCATCCTGTTTACCACTCACTGGAGCTGTTTCTGTCTTCCCAGTTACCTTCTCCTTCCCATTTCCCTCTTTGACTGAACCAGTCGTTGAACTCTGTGAATTCAATTCGCGTAACATCTTCCTTATTTCCACCTTGGCCTTCTTGATTAATAAGTTCTTAAATTCACTAAAAGAGACATCCTGAGAGCTCTGGAGCGTGGTATTTATATTACCCTGAGTACAACCTTTCAGATTGCCCAACCTAGTCCTTTCTAGGCCAGTTTTTGACTGATTGGTCATATCTCTTGCATGGGAGCTAGAAGAAATGTCATCTATACCTCTTCTTCTCTTTACAGCACCAGAGTGCCCTGTAGATGAAGCACCAGGGGTCTTCTTAGATGTCGGGTGCTTTCTTCGTTCCTCTCTTTTCGCAGCTTGTGCCTCCTCACGTTCCCTTTTCACTTTCTCATATGCCTGCTGAACTACAGTTGCAGCTTGAGCAGCCGATGAAGCACCACCCGTTCGTGAGAAAGGACCCCATTGAAAGTTGTTTTGGCTATGTGTGGAATGATTTGATTCACTAGCTCCCATGTATGATGATGAAACTTTTTTACTGCCAGTTTGATAACTTTGCTGTGTAAAATCCCATCCATTAGATTTCACACCGTTTGAAGGGGGTGGGGGTGTTTCAATAGCAAAGAATGGCTCATGACAGTTGGGGCAAACAAGATTATGATGTAGATAGACTCGGAGATACTCATACTGCATCTTGCACCGATGGCACACCGTCCAAAAGGTTAGTCTTGGTTTCTGAGATGGAGCTGAAGCATAATCCGGTCGGGATGCACTTTTCTGTCTCTTCATATTTGAAGTAGTAGCACTTTTTGTGAAATTGTAAAAACCATTTCTCCCGGCTTGTGAAGACGAACTCCCCCGTGAAGTTGAAACAGTTTTGTTGACTCTACCATTCCTCTTCTGGTCATATACTACTCTTCTGGCTTTATCAGACAACAAACTCCAGGCCTGAGAAATAAGCTTAAAAGCCCCATCAGCTCCTACAGACTTGTTTTTGTCAGGGTGAAGAATAAGAGCTAGCTTCCTGTAGTGTTTCCTGACTGTTTCCTCATCAGCTCGTGGATCCAGACCAAGTATCGCATACCAATCGACTTCTCCATTTATCTTTTTTTCCGCAGAAACATAGACATCGAGCGTGGCTAACATTTGAGAGATACCGTCGAGTCCTGGAAATAAATTTTGTGCCTTCAAAGCAAATTTTTTAGCCCCCATTAAGTCTCTTGCTGTAAATTTCTCCTCAGCTTTCTCCTTAGCCCTTGCAGCCTCATCTTTATTACACTCCATTATTTCTTTCCCCTACAAACTTGCCTGCTTTGCTTTCTTATTAAAACAGCAGGGCTTTTTGTTTACTATAAAACCTTCAGCAACCACCTATTTGATTCTCTGGCTAAGCGTTTCCTCATACTTCAAAAGGAACAATGCTCCTTCACACTGCCAATTGGGCATCAATGTAGAAGCAAACTGCCACAGAAGAAACATTACCTTCAATCTTTGATTCGATATATAAACTGCTAACTATACACATCGAATTACGTAACTTAAAACCTAAAAGGAAATAGCAAAATCATTGCAGGTGTGATGGGTTAAAATGAATTCCGTGGGAACTTCTAAAGTAAATGAACTATACAGAATTGTGACCAGTCAAATATTGCAAAGCCCCGGTATCTATTACCAGTTAGAATTGGACCATGACAGCATTTCGGTCTATACCGGCACCATATATCTGATTGGGGAGGAAGATTAGAACTAGAGATTCATCGAAAAGCAAGGATATGGGCTCGTGTGAGTAGGAAACAGAAAATATCTATTCTAGTTTTATCATCAGCTATGGGTTCGAATCTAAGAGAAGTACTCGATAATGTTGTTAAAATTGCGTTATAATCCTTTAACACATAATATTACATTTTCATTTTCCTTAAAATCGTAAGTACTCAACAAGAAGGCAACAAAACATAACCTAACCACCAAAACACAATTC